GGGGTTCTGCATCGTATTTCCTACCCTGGTACATCTGAACAGAATGGTAAGGCTGAGAGGAAGCATAGGCATGTGGTTGAAATGGGTCTTGCTATGTTTTCTCAAGCTTCGTTGCCATTAAAGTTCTGGAGCTATGCTTTTGTATCAGTAGTATACTTGATAAATAGGCTTCCTACGAGTGTTCTGGGTGGTCGACCTTCGTTTGAAATTCTCTATAAAGAATCTCCAGATTACTCCCTTATTCGTGTATTTGGCAGTGCTTGTTTTCCTTGTTTACGCTCCTTTAATCAGCATAAATTGCAAGATTGCTCTAAAAAATGTGTGTTTCTTGGTTATAGTTCCTCTTATAATGGTTATATGTGCTTGGATGATTCGGGCAAGATCATTCTTTCTCGGCATATTGTCTTTGATGAGGAAGAGTTTCCTTAAGCGAAAGTGAGGTATGTCGATTGCTTGGATACACGAGGTACGTCTGCTATAACCACTAGCGTATTGCCTATTGTTGTTCCTCGTATTTCCAATGATTCTGCTTGTAATGCTGGTTATAGAACTGATGTTGTTGTTCCTTCGAACAATGAAGAGATAATTCATGGGAATACTATTAATTCTCCTGTTATCTCTGTGGCTCCAGAATTTGTGGAACCACCTAGTACACTTCTTCCTACAGTTTCTGAATTTTCAGACCATGTTGAGCGGTCCTCTGCTATGGATGAACCTGCTCCCTCAGCTGTTGTGCCTATGTCAAGTCTAGTGGCTGACCCAGAAGATAGTATACATGTCTTAGGTGGTCCTCACTCTATTCTTCAAAATTTGCATCCCATGCTTACGAGAGGAAAGAATGGGATTCGCAAGCCAAAAGCGCTTCAGGTTTCCTGTCTTGATAAGGAACCTTATTCCATCAAGGAGGCTATGTGCAGCCCTCATTGGGCTAAAGCAATCCAAGAAGAATATGAAGCCTTGGTAAATAATGGAACGTGGTCATTAGTCCCTCTTCCAAAGAGACGACAAGCAGTTCATTGTAAGTGGATCTTCAAGGTGAAAAGAAATCCAGATGGGACTGTGTCTCGTTACAAGGCACGTCTCGTAGCCAAAGGGTTTCTTCAGTAGGCTGGGGTGGACTTTCATGAAGTGTTCAGTCCAGTTGTTAAGCCAACCACCGTTCGTATAATTATCTCACTCGCCTTGTCCAAGGGATGGCAGCTTCGCCAAGTTGACATCAACAATGCGTTCTTGAATGGGGTGCTGACTGAAGAAGTTTACATGAAGCAGCCCCCTGGGTATGAACAAGGAAATGAAGGATTGGTATGCAAGCTTAATAAAGCCATCTATGGCTTGAAACAAGCGCCTCGAGCCTGGTTTGACAGTCTTCGAGGATATTTGATTTCACTAGGATTTATTTTGGAACGATTAGATTTGTCGTTGTTTGTTCGAAAGACTGATGATGGTATAGTATATATACTAGTTTATGTTGATGACATAATCTTAACAGGGAATGATGCGAATGAGGTTCAAAGAGTGATCAATGATTTGAACAAACAATTTGCATTGAAAGACCTTGGTTCTCTTAGTTTTTTCTTGGGCATTGAGGTGTGCCGTGATACTGATGGTTTAGTTTTGAGTCAAAAGAAATACATTCGTGAACTGTTAGAGAGGTTTGGCTTTGTTGATGCGAAAGAACTCCTCACTCCCATGGTCTCTACAAGCAGGCTTTCAGCAAATGGGGGTGAACTCGTTACAAATGTTGCTGAGTATCGCAGTATAGTGGGTGCTCTTCAATATGTGGTAGTGACTCGTCCGGACATTGCTTACTCGGTGAATAGGGTCTGTCAATTTATGCAGGCACCATGTGATATACACTTTCAAGCAGTCAAGAGGATCTTGCGTTATCTTCAAGGCACTGCTGACTATGGGTTACGATTCACTTCTTTATCAACACTGTCGTTAACCGGCTTTCCTGATGCCACGTGGGCTTTCGATGTTGATGATAGGCGATCCACTTCGGGGTTCTGTATCTATTTTGGTGGCAATCTTGTTGCATGGAGTTCTCGTAAGCAGCAAGTCGTTGCACGTTCTACTGCTAAGGCTGAGTATATGAGTGTTGCCTCTGCTGCTGCTGATCTGGTATGGATTATGGCCTTGCTTCAGGAGCTACATGTTGTCGTGCATGGCCGAGCAACCCTATGGTGTGACAATAGGAGTGATGTTGATGTCTGTGCTAATCCTATGCTTCATTCGAAATTCAAGCATGTCGAGCTTGATTTATTCTTTGTGCGTGAAATGGTGGCTGCTGGAAAACTGCAAGTGCATGGAGTTCCAGCCTATGAACAGGTTGCTAATGTGTTAACAAAGCCACTCTCAGCACCTATGTTTGTAAAGCATTGTCAAAAACTCTTGGTCACTCAATTGTTTAGAAAGTTAAGCATGGGGAATGTTGGTTCCTAATCTGCTGCTTAGAAAGTTAGAAAGCATGGGGAATGTTGAGTTTAAATCATTATGTTGTATAGAAGTCTGAAAGCATTGGAAAAGAAGACGGGTGAATGTAATAGGTTCTCATTCTGTTATGAGAGTCAGTTTGAAGAAATTAGTTAGTTAAGCTTCTGTTATGAATGAGTTAATCTTTGTTATAGTGGGTTATGCGTGTACTTAGAGCTATAAATAAGCTCACTTGTAACAACAGATACATGATGAATTTTAAAGGTTTTCAGAGAGCCTATTCTCTCTTGTTTTTGTTTTCCTTTCTCTTGTGTGTAGTTCTGCTACACTTGACATTTGAAACCTGGTTTCCACCACTATGTCTGAGGCTAAGTGAGACTGGGCAGCAACATGTACTTGCGTGGTAGGAATCATTACCGACACTATGTGATACAAGGATTTTCTACCTGAGCAACTAATGCTATGTGATATCAGGTGCCTTAGTTTTTGTTATATGCGCTAATGAGTGGAAATATGTTTAATGTATATGAGTTGATAGCTAAGGATAGTAAAAGAATATGAACCCTAATATGTGAATAATACTTAATGTTGAACTGAATGTGCCATTGGTATCTTTGTATGCCTATACTTGTGGCTTTCTACTTACACCGTCTAGCATGCTTATGTTTATGAATTGAAAATAGTATAATAGAGTAGATCTGTACCATTGAGCTTTGTTACCTCAACATTCAAATATTTTCGGTTGTAGGTCAGTATATTCGAATGTCAAGGAGAAACATAACTGTGGGTTTCTAGAGCTATCGAATATTAGAGTACAATACCAAACTTTTAGTGGACATATATATTCATAGGATCTTTATTATTATGATTTAATCTACAAAATACAATTAAATTATATTATTTTGGATTTGTATTAAACGATCATGGAGCTCCATTTTATAAAATCTATGAAATGTTTTAAACCTTTAAGTTATGAAACAAGTTTACTTTGAAAATAAATGATTTGAAATTTGGTAATTACTTTGACAGTCCAATGTGGCACTTTAGGCCCGTCATTCCGTGATCAAATTTATGGTGTTATATATCCTTTGATATCAATTTGTTAAAAGATATTGACAAGTATAATGATCGAACATAAAATAGACACCAATATTTTATGTAGAAAACCGTTTTGAGAAAAAAAATCACAAACAAAAAAAGAGAATTTTCACTAATATTTGAAGTAGAAGAATACAAGAAGAATTTGGAGAAACAACTTCTCATCTAACTATAATCCCGAGAATCTTTTTATAGGGATAGTTAGTTAATTATAAAGAAAACCAATTTAATATAAATCTACACAAAATAGGTATTCTACTATTAATCAACATAAAAGAAAATATATTTTTTTTTACTTTTAATTCAACTAAATTTTCTACTTTCCTCAATCAATTTGAGTCAAATCGAATTCAAGTTAAACTCAACATCGACAAACTTAGAAAAATACCTCACGACCATTACTTTATATGGGAAGGAAAAAACATTCAAGGAGATATCAAAAGAGTCAAAAATCGGATCGACAGTAGGAGTAAATAGTTTCTCTCCTTTAGAGGTAAGAAAGTGTTAAAGAAGTAGGTTTTAAATTATCAATTTATTTTTTGAATTCTTATTTTAGTCCCTCACTTTTATTTCTTTACAATTTGATTCTAGAATTTTAAGAAAAAAATTAGAGCAAAGTCATTGACAACTGCCGATGAATTTGTTAAAGTTGTCCTCATTTATCGGTGACTTTGTTTCATATTTTTCATTTTTAAGATCAAATTAAAAAAATAAAAACATAAGGACTAAAATAATATTTTATAAAAAAGTTAAATATATAATAGAATAAAGCGATGAGTTTATGGAAGGAGCATGAAAATTTAATTCGCTTGATTTATAGACACACACAAAAATTCATAGAAGTCGTCATACTAAGACGACGACTTTGGTCAATTTATTGAGGAAAAAATTCAATGAAAATCAACAACATAAGGTGACATATTTTAAGTACAATATTTCACTAAATAAATCCATTTCTGATTCTAAGTTGTTTTAAAAAAATAATCAATAGCCTTTTATCTCATCTCTTGTATGTTATTCTAGCCCAAAGTACCATCCTATGATGACAGGCATCAATGCGCTAGGCAGGCATACCTTTGTTGTTTTAGGAAAAAGATAGGCATAATGCAGAAAATAACTCTCGATATTTCACTTTGGGGCAAAAAACTCCTTCTATAGATGAAAATTATTAGTTAACATACTATTAATACTCTAAAACATGAGCTTTTTTAACTTAAAATGAAACGTTGAGGGCTAAGATGCCCAAAAAAAATAAGGGACAAAGTGATTATTCTGTCAAATGTTAGGAGCATTTTAGCCTTAAAATGAAACGCTGGGGCCAAAATGCTCTAAAAACAGAATAGGAGCAAAATCACAATTTTGATAAACGTTGGGGGCTATTTTTGGTATTATGCCAAAAAGAAAGTATGTAAAGTTTGTCAGTTGAGTGTATTGATCTTTTAAGGCATGAAAAATAAACAATCAGTCATGAACAAGGGTTTTTGTATTGCAAGAAAAATGACATTTTTTGGGGCTACCAATTGAGAGTGCCAATAATGCTAATTTACATGTCTCCTGCAATCACTTGCTTTTGAACACAATTTCATCATCATCCACATCAAAGGCTGGGTTACACAGGCATCTGAAGAGTCTCCCAATGCCCTATCACAGAATCCACAACAACTCATAAATATGGACTTCATATGCTGTTATCATGCATGTGTATGTATCATGTGCAACTATCATGCATATATTTATTTATACTAGGCCTGAAGAATTTCTAACATGCCTGAGTGAGAAAAGGAGTTCGATACGAAAGTGCTCTTGGCGACTCGTCTTCACTGCTGCTCTCGGAACTGCTTCCATCATCATCATCATCTATTTCAGCAACCTTTTTCCTCCTTGACGGGCCACCATTTCGAGCTTCTTGTTCCTGGTGAAACAATGTTCCAAAGCATAAATATCCATTGATTTCTTCCTATTTTTCATCTTGAATTAATGAAGTACTCCATTTTCTTCTTGCTCATTTTCAGTTCATTAAGCTCACTGTACATAGTAAAATGTGAATTTTTCTTGTATGTGGTATGTCTTATGCAACACCTGGGGCCTATACATAACTATACTAGTTTCTTCTGTTTCTTAGCTTCAACAATCATAAAGAATGCAACAAACAAGTTAGACTCGTTGATGAAAATTCAAATTTGCTCATCTAATGGATTCTGTACCTGAAATACCTTCCCAAGAATTTTCAGAGCCAGAGCTCTAGCTTTGAGTTCCTCCTTCATGACATTGTTTTCCCGCAGCACCTGTAAACCGATCGACTGAACTATCTGAGGATCCGTAAATTTAAAAATACAATTGAAACAAGGATCCTTTCCTAACCTATAAGTTCATTAGATATTCAGGTATATGAATTTCTACAATACAAATCAAGTATCAAAGGGACTAAGATACAGAGAAACTCACCATTTGGCACACATGTACAAGGGTTACTTCGATATCCACGACATTCAATTTCCATAATGAGCTCATGAAAGTTTCTTTATTTAATCTTAAATGTGATTCAACATCATTTTCAGGGCCACTGCCATCTATTTTGAATTGCCTGCGCATATCTTCTTGAAGTTGCAGTAACTGAAAAGCACCTGGAGTTATTTCTAACCATGTCAGTGGCAGATACTTTTCAAGAGTTGAAGGAGGAAACTCGGAAAGGGTGCTTATGGATTTTATAACTTGCCTTTTGCTGCAGTAATCTGTGACTTCCAGAAATGTCCCTTGTGGCGAACCCACTCAGCCAAAAATGGTACACCAAGATAAATTGCTTTCTTTCCAAGCTCTTGTGCTGCCTGTCTGGAGTATACGTAGCCAATAGTGTGTAATATATCAACTCCGAAAGCTGCAAAATTCAAGCCAATAGAGATTACTTGGATCGAAAGTTACTTCAGAGAACTACCAGAAGGTTGAGTTAATCTTCTGGTGTTACATTCATTGAACCATAGTCTGAAAAGGATTATGACACACTGACAACTTATGCTTCTATGTTTATTCTGAATTAAATGCTACCTCCATAATTGATGCTTCGAACAAAATAAATTTTCATACACTACATGTAAAGATGCTATTAACACACTTAGTTGGAACAGAAGAAGTCTCCAATTACCAGTAGATGTCTATATACGCAAAACAAGGAACCTAGAAATGCTTGTGTAACTCATTTTACCAGTATCAGACAGCCGTCTGGCTTCTGATTCTGCATGATGCAAGAATCCATCTTTATCACCTCGGACATATTGGTTAAGAAGATCTTTTAATGACCATGCTAACTTTTCTTCTCTTTCCTTTTGAATAGCCTGCATTCAAGTTTGCACAACACAACTGATTTCATGAATCATAGAAAATTTGTAATAAGAAACTAAAAAGAACCAGATTATTCTATAACACTGAATAGTTTAATCAGTTTTGGCCATGTCAAGGAAGGATGACATGAATTCATCTGATTCGATGTATGATAAGAACTGACCACACTTCTATAGAATGGAAGTTAATTATTTTAACTTGCCTTCAACTTATCATTCAGTTTTTCAGGATTGTCTGCTTCATTGGGTAGTTCTGAAGAAGCCATTGATGCAACAGCAACATGTCCTATGTAGTCCTCAAATAATTCACTTCCAAATAGAAGAGCAAAGACTGCTGTTGGATCAAGCATGGTGTCCCTGAAAACCAAAAGGCTAATAGTTAGAAGACTAGTACAGTCTCGATAACGTTGATCTGGATGCTCAACAAAAATAGCAAAACAGTAAATATAGTTACATGGTCATGTTACTGGTATTATGCACCACTTTCTAGCTTAAGTTACAGAAAATCAAAAAATGAAGTTCTAAATATGATTATGCAGCTATTAGTAAAAGTTAAAATAGTATACTTAGTCTTAACCATTTACTGGTATCTAGAATTCAACTGGTTGACTGATACTATTAGTATGCTATCAAAATATAACACAGTCCTAAGAAAAGAGGTTAAGATAGAGCTATTTGACATCTTTGTAATTAAGCATCAGAAACTTAAAATTAATTATCAATTTGTAAATAGTGAACGTTACACAGTAAACAGAGCTTAACAAGCTCGAAAACTCGTATGATCAAACACCGAATGCGAACGTCATACCTAGATATGCTGTATTTCCCATTTCGATTATATGCATCTCTTTGAACAGGATCACTCAAAACTTGATAAGCTTCACCTAGTACCTGGAGAAATGAAGATTGTCAATGTACTAATTACCCCTTCCACAAACTTGACAGTACATATAGGAAAAAAAAAAGTGTGGAGAAGATAAACTAGCAACAAAATTTGTAAACGCACCTGAAATCTATCGGCAGCATGAGGATCATTTGGATTTTTGTCTGGATGAACTTGCCTTGCCTGTTCCAATCGTAACATCTAGCTATAATATTCTTGACTACTATATAGTTAATGAAAAGAACTATTTATTTTCTGAGGAAATATATATGCATATATATATATATATATATATATTAAGATTCCATAGTGTAGTTAAAATCAGTCAGGTTCAACCATCATCTAACAATCAGAATTCCAATAGCCTTCAGCATTCAATCCTCCATATGACACTCGGACTAACAAATTACTTGTTATATTCCACTAAGATCTAGCTTCAAAATATATTGAAAAGAGAGATCGGCATACGCATGATAATCATAGAGGATCAAGAGATAAATACATTAGACAGTACAACAGAAATTAAGTACAGAATTGAGATATACTAGAGAAATAAGCCATGTAATAATATATTGATAAGAACATAACAATTTCCTTGTGAAAACTAGCCATTAAAAAACATAAACCGATTACGAACAAAATAAATAAATCCCAGAATTCCCAACCTTAAGATAATAAGCTTTTCGAATCTCCTCCTCGGAAGCAGATGGATTAACACCAAGAACATCATAGTATTCAGTTTCCCTCACCATTTTTTTTTATTTTTGTGAGCAGTAAGCCCAGATTTTTGGGATATAAGTGTTAAAGAGAAAAGAAAAAGCAAAAGTTGTTGATGAGCACGAGCATGTGGTGCCTTTCCAGTTCTTGGTAGCAATAAAAAAAATACTAAAAACTGCTTTTTGGGCGGGAGGAAAGCAGTATATTTAACTGCCAAAGTAGTGATGGTTATCATATGGAGAATGCTTAGTGGATTAGCTTTTGAAGCTATAAGAGCTGTCAGCTGGGGTGGGTTTTATGATCTTCCATGGCGGCCTTTCACCTGGTTCTTTTGTTAAGGCTCGACTGTAATTAAACCCACATCGAACCCACACGCCACAATGCCCAAATAATTGTGTTGTCCACTCCACTTGGGGTCGATGCACAGCATGGAAGTGGAAAAGAACCGAGGGTAAACTATGTATTTAGTCATTGAATTATCATTTTGACGTTGTTTTGGTCAATCACCGTTAAAAAATTAACGGTAATACTTACTTGTCACTGTAAGAGTATTCACATCATCATTGAAAAAGTAAAAAAAAATCATGTCAGCAGTTATGTTTATTTTTTAACGAGTGATTAAAATAGAATTAAAACGTAACATTAGGTATGATTTAAAAAAACTAATTGAATGATAAAACGAAACTAAAGTGATAGTTGAGTGATTAAATATTTAGTTTACCCAAAAATCAATCTATTATCGTCAAATCAAATCAATATATATACTCACACACCTTGCAACTAAGCTGCTTGAACTCGAGTCATCAAGAAAAAATAGAATTCAATTAACCACTAAGATTAACCCGCGTCACACACTTAGTTTTGGTGGGTGAGTGTCTCGGGCATTGATCCTGCATACACAAGGACTCAAAAAACAATATCAAATTGCTTACCACTTGAAACAACTCCCGTGGGTAATATTTTAAATATATATGTCATATATATAATTTCTTTTTTTAATACATAGTTCATTTACATCTAACAATTATTGAGCAGTAAAGATATAATTTTATTCAACTCTTTTTTTTTTTTGAAATTTTACTTAATTGCTATATTTGTTCTTTTTAATGTTTTAATTTAAATACAATTTATATTATATCTTGATTTTTATTTTATCAAAAATGCATAAAATAATTTGAAATTTATAATTAGAGATCAACTTATAATAAATCATTATTTTCGTTCCATCGATTTTGACCTAAAAATTAGAAGCTTTCATCTTATTATAATTAATATTAATTTTAGTAATGTTCCACTTATCTCAATTTCGATCCAACACCAAAAAAAATATTTTTTAATAAAATAGAGAGATAATTAAAAAAATGAAAACACAAGTATAACCACGTAAAATGAGTTCAAATATAAAATAATTATATTTACAAATCTATAATAAAGTTAGCTAAACACATCATTTTCTACCAACCCAAATCTTACAAAATAAGATACAAACATAAGCATCGACATAAAAAATCTTTTATTATAAATAAATTTATAAAATCAAATATATTAAAATAATAATATAATAAAAATAATAAATATCACCAACAATCAGTTGATCTAGTGGGATGAGGCACTAGATTCCTTAAGCAATGTCAGGGGCTCGAACTCTGATGTTTGTGAATGAAGCAAACTGAGTTGGAATGGTAGCCCTTGTCTCTATAGTACTCGATCATGATTAGTCACTCAATAAATCGGATATCAATAATTAATTCAAAAAAATAATATATTAACCTCAAAATTTTTAATATTATAACAAAACCATATATTTTATTTAAAAAAAGGAAAATTTCTAACGTGACATGTCACATGTCGTTTTGGTGTGGTTGTTCTAATACTTAAAGCAACATTGTTTTAGAAATTGAATTTTAAGGGGTGTATCAATTTTACTATTAAACTTTTAAACAGTTTACTTTTTTTGTATTATACTTTCCAACCGCTGTCGACAACCAATAACCGCTTGTCACTTATCGTCTTTTAATGAGAAAATCGATACCAAAATGCTCGCATTTCACTCTTCATTCTTCAAATATGAGTAGTTTTTCACGAAACATACTTAAAATAGACAAAATGAAACAAAAAAAAAATCTATCATTTTTCATATGTTTGGATACTTTCTTAGATTTACTAGATTTGGAGTGTTTGCTCGAAAATATGAACGGTGAAAAGTACTATTTCGAGAAGATGAATAACATACCTCAAAATTAGCTTCATCAAACGATTATTGTAAGAAATCATAGTAGTAATATGACAATTTTTAAAATGGATTTTCGTCGATTTTTATTGGGTTTCGTGAAAAACTAATCCTATGAGAAGAAAGATGGATGAAATATGAATGTTTTAATATCAATCTTGCCGCAAAATACCGATGACGGGCGGTACTTAGCTACTAGCTGTGGCTAGAAAGTCCGGTGCTAAAAAAGAAATTTGTTTAAAAGTTTTATGGTCAAATTGATACACCTCTAAAGTTAGTGTTTAAATCGAAGTTTAGGTATCGGAATGGCCGTAACAAAATGACGTCGTTTTGGTGTGTCATTCCACATCAGAAATCGTTAGTCATGTCATCATCTCGTTATTGACTTAACAAAAGAGTGATATAATTGAATGTAAAACTAAAATTTAGTGTTGTAATTTGTAAAATTAAAAGTTTAATGGTATAAATGAGTCGACTTACAAAATTTAGTGGTGTCTGAAGTAGTTTTCCCTAAAAAAAATACTACAATCATATCTTTCATTTCTCTATAAATTTAATAGTAAATTTGTTAAGGCACCAATTGTAATCTTTCATTTTTATAATAAAGATAAAAGTAATTGTAACCTTTAGTAAAAAGTGACCCAAACTAAAGGCCTAAATGTAACACTTTAAAACTAGTTCATTGCAAGATGAGTTTAGTGTGTCATATAGGGTCACCTAAGTGATATCTACATAAAAAAATTCAAAGAATTTTTATAGGGTAGAAATGATGGTCGTTAAGAGGTTACATTAGTCGAATATTCAAGAATTTTGGTCAAATTTTTAAGGATTTAGAGAGAGGTTGAGATTTGACCAACAACTGGGTAGGCAGGGGATGAGCGACAACTAGGGTTAAAGATGAGGGTTACGAATAGGGTCTGGTAAGCATAGTAGTTAGGTTTAGCTTTAGGTGGGTTTGGTCCTAAGGGTTAGTCTTGATAGATATAGGCCTAATATTTTTACTAAAACAAAATTTGGTGTTATATATATGGTATCTACACTTTTATTTTTAAGACACTTTAATACTTATGATATATATAATATAATTGGTCATTTAATTTTTTTTTCACACCTTATAATAACAGGTGTACATATGTATCCAAAAAATGCGAATTTTAACCCCACACTTCCTACACTTAAATCCATGATAGATGTTTTCATTGCTTCTTATGAGGTTGTTTCTTTACACCATGTTCTAGTCTTTGGGCTCATCTATTGACTTTTAGGGGTGGACAATGGAACTAGTCATAGGGCTTTCATGTAAATGACCATGAGAGATGTCATTTAAGCTGACACCAAGTTGAATCTATTTTGACATAGGGGTATTGTTGTGTTACAACACCAGGTTGCTCATGTTGTTGAAGATAAACTCAAGAAATGGATGAATCATCTGATTGAGGATGCTTGTAAAACCGCTCATAGCTACTTGTTTTTAGGTTGTTCTGTTCATAACCTTGTACCTTTTGGAAAATGATTATAGAATATTTTTAGTTGAATCACTGAAAAAAATTTGAGATCAATGTAGAATTTTATTTGTAAACACTAAGTTTTTGTCACAATTTTATTAATGTTATTATTTTTATTTTTATTATTATTATTATTATTAAATAATAATTACAAATAAATTTACAGGCCCAATTGATAACAAACCTGGAGGCCCAACAGAAAATAAAATACAAAGTTCAAACCCGGCCCAGACAACCTGATCCGACCCAGACCCGATCTGGCCCAAAGAACCCGATTAGGGTTTCATCATTTTCTCTAACCGTAAGCAAATCTCAACCCTTGGATCTGGCCTAGATCCAACGGTCCAGATCTCTTCCAGCACCAACCCTAGGGTTCACCAAATGAGTCGCTGCCACGCCATCATCGCCGCACCAGGGGCTCCAGAAGAAACAATTTTGGCCGCACACCTCACGGATCTACTATGGTGAGTCACCATCATAGATCCGATGACTCGCTAAAAAATTCACCAAATGAACGGTGTTTTGAAGCCTATAAAAGGTCTTCGAATCTGCAAAGAAAGAGAGACAAACAACAATCAAAAACCGAGCAACCCAAACAACAGTCAACAACAAATCGAAAGGAAAAACAAAGGAAATAAGCAACTTACCACTGAGGAGATTCCAAGCGTCGACGGAGCACCCAAAATACGAAGGTATAAACCTAGATCTAGGAAATACTAGGGCTTTTTAGGAAGAAAAAGGTTGGATTTGGGTTTAGGAGATCTCGACCTTCGATTTGATGTATTTCTATATTTTTTGGTCACCGTGATTAGTGACCGACGATGGTGAATAGTGACCGACGATGGTCAGAATAGTGACCGATGATGTCCGGAATAGTAGCCGCCGGTAGCCGACATCACCTCTGGTTGGAGGTTTTTAGATAGAGGCGAGAGAGAATATTTACTTCTCTCTCTTAGAGAAAGAAGAAAAAAGAGAAAATGAGAGAATTGGAGACCTTTGGGGCTTAATTGGCCTATTTATACCCTCCTCAAAACTACGTCGTTTTGGGAGGGGTTTCTGCGTAAATTATGAAATGGTTAAACCATGTCTGCATTCTCTCATGTTTTGTAACTTACCATTTTAGTCACTGAATTGAGTTTTTGCGCATTTTAATTTAGTTTTCTAATTTTATTTTATTTTATTTTAATCATTAATAGCATATTTATATATTTAAGGTAAATATCAATTTTAGTTATTATAATTTTAATAAATTATATTTTAATTTGAATATTAATTAGGATAAATTACATTTTTAATACCTAAATTTAATAATATTTCGAATTATGACAATTAATT